TTTTTTTTTTTTTTTGCAGTTCTGGTTATAGGACCCAGGGCCTGGCACATGCTAGGCAAGCATTGTACCACTGAGCAATACCCACTAAGCTAACCCTAACCCTAACCCCCAGCTCCTAAATTTCAGATGATACTTTACCCTGAATACTTCAGCATGCACAAGTATTTCCTAAGAACCAAGATATTCTTCTGCCTAACTACTATGCCACTAGCATGCCCCCCTCAAACAAACATTAATATAAAACCTGACCTGATATTTGGAGTGCTCTGATGTGTCCATATCCTGGGGCCAATCAAGAATCATTCCTCACCATAGATAATAGGAAACAGAGAGGTAGATCTTTTACAAAAGGGAAGGGGACCGAGAGATGGAGGCAGAAGAGAAGGAGAAGAAGGGAAGGGATGGAAAATAATTAAGACGTGTTAAGTGAGTGTACCAACTCCCCATCAAGAATGTGATCATTATTCACTACAGACATGGACTAATAAAAAAATAAAAACTGAAAAAAAGAGAATCATTCTTCACATTTCATTGTGCTGTCTCTTTCCTCTCCTTAAATCTTTTTTTTTTTCTTTTTTTGGTACCGGGGATCAAAGTTGGGACCTTGTGCTTTCGAGGCCACCGCCGCCACTGGAACCACTGAGCTACATCCCCAGCCCTCCTCTTCTTAAATCTCGAGCAGTTCCATTATCTCCGTTTTGCCTGGTCTGATTGTCTCACTGCATGTCTCATAGTCTGGATTTGTGTTTTTCCGAATTTTAAAGGGAACAATTTTGACAGAAACAAAAACAAAATCTATATGGATGACGTGGTAGACTTCCCACAGCTTTGCGTCAGAAGGCTAGCTCTCAAGTTGTTCAGGCTGGGTGATGTTGAGGACAGATGTCGTGAACAGATCCGGGAATATAGGAAATCTGGCAATATGTCCCATGCGGAGGTGTTCATTATTTAGGGAGTTACAGGCCAGCAGCCCAGTGTATTTTATTGTATAAGTATTGTGTCAATGTGAGTGTGTCAGCGCTGATGAAATTAAGGATTTAAAATATTTTAAGGGAATTACTGTGTCAATTAAGAGAAAAGGAACTTGAAGATTTTAAATATTTTATTTTTTTATTTTAAATATTTTAAAGGGGATTACTGTGTCAAAAGAAAAGAAATTAAAGAAACAGAAAAAGTAAGAGAAAAGAAAGTAAAGAAAAAGTAAGAGAAAAAGAGAAAAGAAACATAAGTGCACACAGAAGCCTCTCAGCTGGACTGAGGAGGTAAAGTACAGAGTTAAAGTGAAAGGTAAAGTTCAAAATTAAAACAAAAGCAGAATTCAGAGTGTGAGTGTGTTAAAATTGAGGATTTTAAATATGTTTAGGGAACTACTGTGTCAAAGGAAACTGAGTGTGTCCATGTTGTGTCAGTGTTGTCAATGTTGTGTCAATTAAGGAAAATCATTTGCTAGGACAGAATGTCTTTTGCTGGAAAAGATTCTCTTTGTGTTGCATGGACAGTGTATTGCTTGCTGTCACTTCTAGGCCACAATTTATCTTTTGTAAAAGCTTTAGGAACCCTGCCAGTGTGAGGCAGAAGTTTTGTTTATGTCACTGCAGAAAATGACTGGAAGATATGGAAACAATTTATCTTTCTTTTTGTAGAAATTGAATGGGCTTTGACACAAGAGGTATGCATAACCCTAGAAAAAGAGAATTCAAACTAGTTCTTTCAGTTATTTAAGCACCCTACCAGTGTGGGGGCTGGGATTTTATTTGTGTCATTACAGGAAATAAAGGGACAATATGGATACTGGTAGAGTAACACAACTTGACTTTACTCAACAGTGAGAGTTTTCTCCCGGATGACAACTGAAGAAAACTATCCAGGAGGCAGAAAAACTCATCTATGGTAAGGCCGGGCTGGCAAAGGATTTTGAGTGGGCCCATTGGGGAATATCTTTGACTGACCCGGTGAGTGGGCTACAGGTGGCGCCAGGAACCTGGGGTCGCCTACAGGGCGATACGCTTGATCCTTGGTCTGGGGTGCCCTCCAGATCTATTTTGGGGGTACTTTTGCTGGGGATGAAACCCAGGGACTTGAGAATGCTAAGCAAGTACCCTGCTACTGAGCTACATCCCCAGGCCAAATTCTTCTCCCTTGTGATTAGTTAAGTATTCCATGGGGCAACAATTTGATTCAGTGTGACTTTTATTTATTCCCCAACTACCTTTCTGCCAGTGAAGCCAATGAAATCTATGATTTTTTTTTTTTGAGACAGTCTCACTATGTAGTTCAGGCTGGCCTTGAATTTGCAGTGATCCTCCTGCCTCAGCCTCCTGATTGTTGGGATTCAGGCATGCACACCACACCTGGCTTCCCATGAAATCTTTTAGCATCCACTGCTGATCCTTTCTTGGCTCCTTTCTGGCACTGTTTGGTGTATAAAGGTTATTTTTTAATACTATCAAATATTATATCAATGCTATCTAATGTTGGCTTGTGAAAATTTTTTTTTTTTTTTTTGTACCGGGGATCAAACTCAGAACCTTGCATTTGCCAGGCAGGTGGCGGAACCACTGAGCCAAATCCCCAGCCCATGGCATGGGAAAATTTTTAAATAATTGTAAATGTGAGAAGAAGAAAGTAGAACACATTCTAACTCATTAAGACACAGATTTTTGGGCTGGGGATTTAGCTCAGTGGTTTCCCTGCCTGGCCAGCAAGCGCAAGGACCGGAGTTCGATCTCCGGTACCCGCCCCCCCCAAAAAAGACACAGATTTTTTCATGCCATAAGTTCCTTCTGTTGATACATTTTCTATTTTGCCCTTAATGAATCAACCAATCCCCTCACTTGCATAATATATGTGTTACTTATTTATTTACTAAGAAAAGTAGATGATATAGAAAAAAATGAAAGCATGCTTTCCCTCACCTAGGCTAGGAGATGAGGCATACAAAATAAAAAGCCAGGTAAGCAGATGAACACTGGAGTGTTGGAAAAGAACACGCTCCCTCCTCAGAAACTTCCCCCAGCTGCCCTGCGCCTGCCAGGTCTGGGACCGCCCTGCTCACGCTGACCTCCACCCGCAGTGTTCTCCTTGCCCTCTGCGTCTGGAGCTCAGGACCCCAAAACAGCACCAAGGCTTCAAGACTGAGCTCAAACACCATCTCTTCTGTTGTTCTTCAAGCCTTCTTTCACTCCTCTTCTCCTCTAAAGAGTGTCTTCTCTCAATGCTGCAGTACTCCAAGAACAGGTTAAAGCCCTTGACTATGTGACCTTCTCCAGTTTGAACTGCACTGCATATGGGGTCCCCCCTGAGGCTGTGGCAGTGCCACCTGTCCTCCTGCTGGCTCTGTGCACCCCTGGTGTTTTCACCGAGTACGTGAAGCCCTCAGAGCCTCAACGCTGTTCCCAAGCCGTGGAGGCTGAACTCTGCCAAGAGAACAGGATGAGAAACTCTGCTCTTGCCCTCTGTTTATTTTTTCAGACATGTTCCTTAGAGTAGAAGGTTGACAAGGAAGTTTCTTTTACTCCCTTCCTCTAGACTGAAGGAAAAGAAAAAAACCAGGAAACCAACTCCAGAACACAATGAAGATGAATATCAAATATTTGTTCCTTTCCATACAAGAGAAGTTAGGCACAATGTTAGGTCATCATGGTAGCACTTGCAAGAATCAAAGTTGCTTTGAGCCCTAAGGATTTCCAGTATATCAGTTTGGCTGTTTCTTATGGAAATAAAGTATTTTTTTAACTATCTTTTGACCAAGATAATTAGATATTATTCCAAACACCTGCAGTTGTCATCCAGAGGCTGCTTGTGACAGTTGTGACTCAGAAACCTGGCTTGATGCTGCTGACAAGTAAGCCCCTCCCTTGCAGCTTTGGACACCAAGACTTTGGACAGCCGAGAGGGGAGATGCCATTTACTAAGCACCTTCTGTGTATCACAATCATGTTTTATACGACCAGCATTGCAACACCTCAAGTTAAACATTATCTCCATTCTGTAGACAAGGAAATAAGTCTGGAGATGTTGAACATTTGCCCCAAAGTACACAGCTAGAAAAGCAGAAAGCTGAGATTCAAAATCCCATGTCTGAGTTTTTCATATTAGAGCAGCTTATATATCTGGCTTATTTCACTTAAAGCATAAAAAGATAGATAAGTAGGAAGTAGGGAAATCTTTTTTAAATGGTTGGAGGAACAACCTCCTTAGGAGAGGGAAAGGAGATGGGAAAAAAGTTGAAAAAATAAAAAATGAAAGTACAGCTTTTAAATTGGCCATGGGGGCCGGGGATTTAGCTCAGTGGTTCTGTCACCTGCCTTGCAAGCACAAGGATCCGTGTTTGATCCCCAGTACCAAAGAAACAAAAATAAACAAAAAATAAAAAATTGGGCATGGTGGCAAACAACAGTAACTCCAGCACTCAGGAGGCTGAGGCAGGAGGATAGCCACCAGTTCAAGGGCAGTCTGGGCTACATAGTGAGTTCAAGGCCACCCTGAACTACATAAAGAGACCCTGTCTCGAAAAACGAAAACAAAAACAGAGCTTTTGCAAGTGGGAAGGGGGCCAAGAGCTGGAAGGAGCAGGAAGGGAAGGGAGGGTTAGGGGACAGAAGAAAAAAAAAAGATGTACGTTTCCCAGCCCCCCACGATAACTGTAACCATCATGTACTGCAAACATGACTAATATATTTTTTTATAAAATTCCATGTCATGAGAGTACTGTGCTTAAGTGGGTACCTGCCTCCTAAACAAACCCTTATGTCTGCACTCCCTGCCCAATGCTTAGAGCATAAATGCCACAGAACCCTTTCAACTTCCCATCGCTCCTGTCCTCCTCCCTCCCTAAGTCCCATCCTTGGCTTCTTCCCAGTGCAAACAGACATTTCCTGGAGGGTGACCCTGCCCCTGCCCCAGGATGGAGCCACAGACTCCAGGTCCTGCAGCTAGAGATTGGCTCAGACACAGGCACCTAAGCCAATTAGTGTGGGGCTGGATTTGGGTTGGGAGCCCTAAGACCTCACAGGGGACCCAGCCTCAGGGTCAAACCTACAGCCCTGGAGGCAAAGCCAAGAGCACAGAAGAGAGAGGAGTGTGGAGCCCACCCTGTACATCCAGCTGTGTGAGAACGGCATCTTATTATCTGAGCTCCATTAACTTGGCGTTTTTAAGCTTCTGTACTGCAAGAGAAACCACCAACAGAGCTAAGAGACAACCTACAATGTGGGGAAAAATTTTTAGCATCTGTACCTCAGACAAAGGACTACTATCTAGAGTATATAAAGAACTGAAAAAAATCAGATCCCCCAAATTCAAAGACCCAATTCAAAAATGGGCATCTGAAATGAACAGACATTTCTCAGACAAAGAAGTAAAAGCAGCAAA